AAATTATGACAAAAAAAATACCACTTCAAAAAACTCGCCATGCCTCTTATGAAGTACGTCGGACTGTCTACTTTGCAAAAAGGGGTCATTTGGGGGATATCTGTACTGTTCTGACATTCTTGGACCTCAAGAAATTAGATTGGCCGTCAGTACTTCAGGATTGATCAATATTCAGATCTATACCATAGTTTGTGAACTCTATAACTTTCCTACAAACTAAAAAATACATCCTAATTTGGGTTATTTTCAAAGACATGTAGCAGAATACATCTTGGCCTAAATTTATGAAGAACAATTATTTATTTGCAAACTTTCATAACAGAAACAAAGGAAAACTTTTTTTTTTTTTTCAAAATTTTTTGGTCTTTTTTTCTTTTTTTGTTAATTTAGCAAAAAAATAAAAACCCCAGTGGTGATTAAATACCACCAAAAGAAAGCTCTAGTTGTGTGAAGAAAATGATAAAATTTTAGTTTGGGTACAATGTTGTATGACCGCGCAATTATCAAAGTGTGAGAGCGCTGAAACCTGAAAAATGGCCTGGGCAGGAAGGGGGTAATAGTGCCCGGTATGGAAATAATTAACAAATTTGTATGTTTATAAATACAAAAATGAGGATATGGTCCGGAGAGCCCACCTAACTATTACAGAGAATGAGGTGCCACCAAAACGAACAGGAGGGTGTTGCCAAAAAACATGTAATGTAAACCAAAAGAAACTGCTGCGCACTTGTCTGCATAGAATTGTTGCCTATAGCAGCCCATCCAACCATTCATCTTAGACCTCTGGGTCACAGCGCATCCATCCAGTTATAGCGATTCCACATGAACGTCACACAGTGATTATCTAAAATATTCTGGACTGTCCTCACATTTATACTGGGACTTTAGATGCTTTATGCCTACAAGTCTACAGTGGGCTATCAGTCATATGGTGCCTGTGCTTAGGGAGTCCACCTGAGACCTGTGCCATATATATACTTTTGTATATTGATCCTTTTAGGAGATTGCTTGAATTGGTCTTGGTTCACTGGGCTGGATCTGTGCGGTGCTACTAGGGGAGATATACCAGCAGTTCTTGGGGGGGAAATACTCAAATGTGGGTGGGTTCCGCAGCTCCTCAGTGGTGGGGGGCTGGTGGGTGGCATTTTCTGGGGGGTTCTTTGGTGGGGCAGATTGTGTTTCCTGGGGGAAATCGGGGTCTGGGTCACTTACCTGTGATGCTTATAAAAAAAAGTTTATTAAATTACTGAAATATTTTATGAGTAGTAGTCATATAGGTGTATACGCTTACTTTCTTCTATTGGTTGGCATTGTTTGACTATAAGCCTACTACTGTAGACTGACCCTTGCAGTGAGAGACAGTCATGGGATTTAAGTCTGCAGTCCCACCCATTAAACAAACTTTGAAAATCAGTGAATGATCGAAAATGTTTAGGGCTCATTCATACCAAAAACTGTACGTAACTGTGCATGTTTCCTTGCACTTAAGCATGCATTTGGTGAGTATTTTACATGCAGTTGATGCACGCTTTTCTAACTGCATTTGATCTGGGAGATCACTTCCTTCTTTTTTCTTAGCTTGGGCTTTTATGTGCACAGTGATGCGTTGCAGTGAATTTGCATACTTTTTTGCGCATTTGCAATGCAAAAAAAAAAAAAAACACAGCATGCTGTACTTTTCTGCACTGCAATGGTGTGAACTATGCCCATAGGACAGCCTGGATTTTGGAATGTCTATGCAGTTGGAGTGCAGTCCAAAATGCATCTAACTGCATCCCACTGCGTTAGAAGTGAAAGGGCCCTTATTAAAGGTAAATGATTTTTTTTTTACTTAGATCTGCAATTAAGGCAAATATAGAATACACAACTCAATGCAGCTCAGTATTAATTATTTTTCTAAATGAGACTGGAGTGCAGACCTAAATTTCACTTGAGAGCTGTACAAAAAGGCACACAGACTGGAAAAGAGGGGCAGGTTTGAGAGTAAATAAGTTGTATTGCATACAATTGTGCCAACAATAAAAATGCTGATAGGATGACAGAGCAGATGTAAATCTCAGGACTGGATGCATTGCAAGAAATCCTTTGGCAGGTAAAACAGCTACTTTATATATTTGTTTACTATAGGTACTTATATAGCACCATTAATTTCCGCAGCGCTTTACATATATAGTGTACAGTCGGATCAGTCCCTAACCCTCAAGAGGCGTACAATCTAAGGTCCCTAACTAATGGCGGCCATAGACGGGTCGAAAATCAGCCGATTTTCACACTGTTAGTGGGTTAATTGGTCCGCCGTTTTTTTCGGGGTTTTTGCATTTTTTTTTTTTTTTAATCGGCCATGTTGGGAAACTTGTGGAAGAAAGAAAGAAAGAGAGAGAGAGAAAGAGACACAGAGAAAGAAAGTCTGCTATTATATTTTATATGAAAAAGTCTTGCGGTTGCAACAAATGTATCCATTTGTATCCAAATAAAAACAATGTATTTATATTGCTGTCACATTGTATGGTGTGCTCCCCTGTCTGTCAAATTGGTTTCTTATCCCATTCTTTCGTGAGCAATGGTGGCAGCATCAGCACTGACCGATTTTTCGTTTATCGGCCGACAATTCGGCCTGTCTATGCCTGCATTACATTCATACATACACATACTGGGGCAAATTAAGACAGGATTCAATTAACCTACCAGCATGTCTTTGGAGTGTGGGAGGAAACCGGAGTACCCGGAGGACACCCACACAGGGAGAACATGCAAACTCCAGGCAGGTGGTGCTGTGGTTCTGCATGTACAAGTGTTTGCTTGATATGATTGTAAAGGTTCGATTTTTTTTTACATTTTAACAAATGTCATACTTATCTACTCTGTGGAAGAGTTTTGCACAGAGCAGCCTCGATCCTCCTCTTCTCTGGTCCCCCATGGCACTCCAGGCCCCTCCCCTCTGTTGAGTGCCCCCAGAGCAAGCTGCTTGCCCTGGGGGCACTCGTGTGTGTGCTTGCTCATGAGCCATCTCTGTGTGTCCAAGACAAACACAGCGTGCTTGGGCCAGCCCCCTGCTCTCTCCCTCACTGGCTGTGACTGACAGTCAATGAGGAGGCAGAGACCCAGGAGAGCTTCTGACATTGTGCACATTGCTGGATCGAGAGTAGGCTCAGGTGAGTATAGGTGAGAGGGGACCAAGGAGGGAGCTGCACATTGAAGGTTTTTTACCTTCCTGCATAGAAGAACCACTTTAAGTTTACACACACTTTCTGAAAAACACTAGAAAAATACCAATTTTACTTGTTGGCTGTGAATTCTACTAAATAAGTTGTTCAGTTAATAGTAGATTGTAGTTAAATGTGGTAAAGCTGACTTTTATTAATCAAAACTAAGTTCATAACTTCAGAAAAATAATGGATAAAAGTAAGAAAAAAAAAAGTACAATTGTATTCAGCATTATATTCTAATTAGTGAACTGAATAATTAGCATATGCTGCATTTGTAGTATACAGCAGTAATTATCAGCTTTCACATATATTACTTTGATTAATGTTCCCCTGTAATGGCATACTTGGAAGCCTTTAGTAAACAAACTATTTTCCACTCTCCCGAAGGTCACAGACATAATAACACCATCAAAAGAAATCTAAATGTACACATGCTTCATTTTTCATACTGTAGCCTTTTGAGTAGGATGCATAAGAAAAGGAAGAAACCTTTTCACCAATCTTTAAGAGCCTTGAAAGCAAACACAGCTGTAAGGGATAACAAGCATCCTCAGCAAGCATGACGCACAAGGTCAGCATGATAGTCAAGAGATCTTTTGCATGACCTAAAAGATACCATTAAAAAATAAAGAAGGATCCTGGTTAACTTAAAGCTGAATTGTGGGGGGAAATGAAAAAACTATGTATGTAACACTGGCACAAAATTGTAAAAAAATGTTTCTTAAAATTTAGTTGTACATTTCCTGCAATTACTATAACCTACCACCAAGAAAAACCCAAAATAAAATTTCATACTCCTGGCAATCATAGCAATACCACATGTGTGTATGCTATTTGTCTGTACCTGTAGTAGGGTCCAAACAATAGTGTGCATTTTACTTTTTATATCCTACAAAAGCATATTGACACTAATAAACAAAATCGATATTTATTTAAAAACAGCTTTTTTTCCCCCATCTTTTTACTCCAACCAAAAATACACTACCCTGACCCTAAATCTAACCCTGCCACTAACCTACTAAAGATCAAACCCCGATTTTTTTTTTTTTTTTTTTTTTTCGTTTTGCATTCATTTATTTTACACATTTGTCTTTGTTTACATTTTTCTCCTCTAGCAGGAGAATATGATACAATGCATCTTTCTCTCCATTCAAGAAGAGAAAAAAATACACATGGTGGGGCTGCACAGTGACTGATCATTGTGATAGCCAAACAGAGGCTTCCTGGATCCCAGGCACTGGTGCGGGACCTCTCGGTAAGAGCCGAATACGTGTGCTGGGAGCACACTCCCATCATAAAGCACACACATATAGCGTGTGTGTGTGTGTGTGTAGGTTCTTGAAAAAGACATTCTTCAGCAAGGCCGCATATATGTGTACACACAGCAGTAATAGGTTAAGGACTTTAGTTTATTTATGGAGAATGCAGAAGATACTGAAACTTGATGGATAGGCGCAGAGTTAGAAGTTATAAAATGGAGATCGCCAGTAGCACATCAATTTCAGAATACATCTTCATTCAGAGACAGCTCTCAACTTACACACTTTGATAAATATGAGCTATCAAATGTTTTCAGGGAAGCACAAATGAAGTTTGTTCCACGTCAGCAAAAACTGTAAGCACAAAGGCTACCTAGCTCCTGCAATTATTCCATTATGGAAGTGCAACATGAAATTAGTCAAGATCTATTAACAGATTAGCATTAGCAGGTTTGTGTCAGTTGGTAATGCAAACATACATAGGAAACAGAACGCTGAAGTCTTAGGAAACCGTAAATGTCAGAATTACACTTACCATCTCTATTAAGCCATAGCTTCTTCTGGCGATAAAGCAAAAGCTTGTTATGTACATAGGGTAGCAGGAACTTGATACACCAGCTTTCCACTCCCAACTTGTTCTCCACCAATACTATAGGGCTACGATTATACTTTGCTTCAGGACATGGAATTAACCCAATTTCATCTCTACAAAAATAAAAACAATTCAGGTCAACACAAAGAGAATATTACCAGCATGATTTTCTGTGTTAATGGGCAGAAACCAACAGTCCAGTTACACCATGACTACTGTAATGATGGTAGATATGCCTGCTCTTGGAGTAAGCAGGGGGATTGGCAGTGATGTTGCTTGTGGGATTGATAACATCACTGCCAATCCCCCTGCTTACTCCAAAAGCAGGCATAGAATTGTAAATATGGCTGCCTGGGTGGGTGATAACTATATAAATAATATCCAAATTGAGTTCTGTCTGCTAACACTGTGGAACTGTTTTTTGGATTTCAGGAAGATTTGTATACGCCTGTTTTAGGATAAAAGTACATAGCATCAACACCCCATGTTATAAACTGGATCACAAGATATTAATTTGTACTCACATATGTGCATTTAAAAGGTTGTCAAGTATATTAAATTTATTTATTTATTACAGGTACTTATATAGCGCCGTCAATTTACGCAGCGCTTTACATATATATATATTGTACATTCACATCAGTCCCTAACCCTCAAGGGGCGTACAATCTAAGGTCCCTTAACTCGCATTCATATACAAGGTCCAATTTAGACAGGATCCAATTAACCTACCAGCATGTCTTTGGAGTGTGGGAGAAAACCAGAGTACCTGGAGGAAACCCACACAGGCACAGGGAGAACATGCAAACTCCAGGCAGGAGGTGCCGTGGCTGGGATTCGAACCAACGACCCTAGTACTGCCAGGCGGAAGTGCTAACCATTTAGCCACTGTGCTGCCTTCATAAATATATGAAGCTCACATATTACATACCTTTTATTATGTTTTAAGTCTTTTGTCAACAGGTTACTTCAAATAAGCAGTGAACACTAAATAAGAAAAGTGTCACATAAAACACATTTAAAAACTGGCTGACATTTACATGGAATCTTAATTACAGCACCTAACACTGACTACTAGTCTTTTTTTGAAATCTAGCCAGATTCTCAGATGTCCATTTCAGAGAAACAAGTAAACAACATGCTTGCAGTTTAGTGTAGCAGATTGTGCAATAATCTAATGCTGGTCCATCAGTTATACCCCTACCCCCATTTTATGTCCTAAGTCCATCCACAAGAACATGCAAAGCAACCAAGATTCCGCTGTGTATGGACACCTGCCAGACATGACCAGTAGTTAGGTCTTTAGGAACAATTCTAGGAAAGTATTCAATTATTCCATCTAACTGTATAAGGCAGGGATGTCGCAATCAAATGTTACAGTGGTCTACATTAATTGGAATCAATCTGCAAGGGGCTCTATTATGTCTACTGATGCCAAGCCTAATTTCTGAGAAAGATTAACTGTATAGTGAGAATTGCAACTTGCCGCACTTTATCACAGAGAAAGGGCTAATAAAACATTTTCTGATGAAATGTAAAGAAATGTTATCTTTATCAACTGGAAATTAGCTTGGACGTGATTTCGTTTAAATTCTTAGACTCCAAATGCCAGTAAACACACCTAGTACAAGGGCTAGTGTATCAAGGGCTAGTGTATCAAGGGCTAGTGTATCAAGGGCTAGTGTATCAAGGGCTAGTGTATCAAGGGCTAGTGTATCAAGGGCTAGTGTATCAAGGGCTAGTGTATACGGCCATTAAAGGTGTGCCCACATTGCATTAGCATTGATTTGTGTAGGGGAATAATACAGCACAAAATGATCATTTTAAACTGGAAGTAGAATCTGTGCTGCTGGTTGGGCTCTAGTTATACTGTGCAAGTCTGCAAAGCATATTTACACAATATCAACTTAAAGCAGAACTTCACCCAAAAGGGGAAGTTCTGCTTGTTTACATTCCCCCCTCCACTGCCACATGTGGCACTTTTTTTGGGGGGTGGGTACCTGGTTTTCACAGGTACCCGCTCTCACTTCTGGTCAGATGTGCCCCAACGATCTGAGACAGAAGTTCGTCCCCCTCTTTCCTCCGCAGCCTTCTGGGACACATCACAGATTGCAGAAGACTGCAGAACCATTAAAGCCTGAGTTCACCTATGTGCGGTATATCGCATGTGATTCGCACAGGAACCGCACCGCATTCCTGTGCAAATCACATCAAATGTGATTTGTGTTTAGTGTAATTGGAGCCACACATTTTGTATGGCTCTATGTGCACTGAGCCCGTACTAGATTCAGATCACATAGGTTTTCACACCAATGCGATCCAATTCTGCACATCGCACCGTGTTTTGCGGACCGCTTTTGGGGTGGTGTTATCTTAACATACAAACCTGCAGCGGTTCGCATTAACGGGGTGTGATTCTGATACGGTGTGGAATTCGCAGCGTTTTCAGTACAAATTCAGAATGAACCAGGGCTAAAAGTTAGCAGCTACAGTATTTGCAGTTTCTAACTTTAAATTTTTTGGGGGGAGAAGCCTGGAGCTCAGCTTTAAAGTGGAACTACACTGCATCTGAGCACTACAAATCAAAAACTATTTAACTAATTTTTTTGTATTCAAAACAAGCTCACCCAGCCATCTATGTATCCATGCTTTATTTTGCTGCAAAATCAGTTTGAAAAACATCCCCTAGCTTTACTGGCCATGGCCATCTGGAGTAAGGTCAGATTATTCATGAAATAATCACTTCCTGGAATCCCTCTGCCCTTAGTTCAGGCATACAAGCAATTCAACCCTGCAAGTGGTTAAGGTTCACAGGTACCACAGCATAAATCTGAACTCCAGGAATACTTACATGGATCCACAGAAAAAAAAAAAAAAATACAAGACATCTCTGAATGGAGGCAGTACTGAGCACCGAATCCAGAAGACTGCAGCAATCACTGTCATAACACCAACTACTACAGTGATTTGCAGCTTCCCCAAGAGCCCATTAGGTATAAAATATGCATATATACATGGTCCTAAGCTGGAATAATGTAACTGTGCTTTAACGATCATACCTAGAGTTCAGCCTAAAGGTACACCCAGAGATGCTGGAAGTCAGATGGCTATAGATTCAGCAGCAACAGCTTTGTTTACATGCTGACAGGTTTTTTTTTGTGGTCATCTGGTGGGGTTGAGCAGTCCCCACCGTATCTCCTGACTGTAGGTACACCACCACCACCTGTTTAAAGAGGGGAATGTCTCTAGACAAACTGTACATTATAAGACAAACCACACCACACACCCACACACACACACGTGACACTATGGGCAGAACAGTTACATGGCTCATTTTTAATGTTTACTTGGCATTGGGTTTAGAAATGACAAGGTGTTTCAAACCATTTGTCTGATGTTGCGGAATTCGCATTCTAAAACAATGCTGTGTGGGAATTCGTTCAATCAGCTTTGAACAATAATTATGTCAAATAAAAATAGCAGGGACGTGGGACAGATAGGAAACTTTGTGATAATTTTCACTTGCAGGTGTAATTTGTGTAGTTTGCGCCATAACCCTTAACATAATCCAGGTTCTCTACAACAGGTTCTCTACAACAGCATTTCCCAACCTTTTCTTCAGCCACAACACCCTTTAAAGCCTAAGTTTTCCTAAATCAAAAAAAGAACGGATAAGGTCACCTTTTTAAAAAAATAATAAATGCACATCTTTTTGCAGATAAAAAAATATGCATTTAATATTAGAATACCAGAATCAACAGATTGCGAATGCAATCTCATGCTTCTGCAGACTGTTAGTGTAGTTGTCTGCTTGTGCCTCATACGGACAAGCAGTTACTGAATGACCAGAAGAACAATGAACTACCTAGAGTGCTCATCAGCTCCCTAGTATTTCATTGAGAACTATGAGCTGTCAGCCGCAATGGCTGCTGATAGTTGTAGTTCTCCCAATCACAGAACTCTGTGAATGAATGATGAGACCAGGTGGACGGAGCCCCGCATGATCACTTTTTGTTTTTAAATTTTAACAGCAGGTGCAGGGAAAGGATCCCTGACCTGCTGTCACAACTGCAGGATAGGGGAGGGGTGCGGGGGCTGCTCATGTCGTAATATGTTAGAATCTAAATATGTAACATGTTTTGAAACTTGAACTTTTATTTATCAGCACAAGGGATATTCCTTACCTTCAGTAAGATGTGTGTCTCTATATTCATATGCTAGGAGCAGAGTCACCTGAAAACTCCAGTAACAATGTAGCTTTTTCTTCTGCTTCAGAATAATCAACACAGATGTTTAACTGCTTCCCCTCCACCCTATAGCAGAAATACTGCTACAGGGTGGCAGGGACTCGCAAAATCACATATATATACGTGATTTTGCAGCTCCAGGTAAGGGGCGTGCACCCCACCTGCTCCGCAATTCGCGGTCTTGACTGTCAATCACTGGGTCCCAGCCAGTGATTACTCGCTGGCACCTGGTGATCGCCAAGTACCTCCGACAGGGGAGAGAATTGTATGTAAACAATACAGATCTCTCCAGTCAGCTCCTGCACAGCAGAGCCATACAAAGCAGTGTGCTTACAGTGAAACACAGACACAGCCCACGTAGTAAAACAGCACACAGTCCTTTGATCACCCCAGATGCTAGCCCCTTCCTGCCAAGTGCTATTAGTACAGTCAGTGCTTTTAATTAGCATGGATCACTGTATTGGTGTCATTGGGGATGTCAGTGACACCAAGTCAGTTCCCCCCAGTTTCAGAATGCCCGCTGCAGTCCCGCTATGAGTCGCTGATTGCTGCCATTACTAGTAAAAAAAAAAAAAAAAAAGAAAAGAAAAATCCCACCATTTGTAAACACTATAACTTTCACGTAAACCAATTCATTTACACATATTGGGATTTTTTTTTTTTTAGCAAAGACATGGAGCAGAATACATTTTGGCCTAAATTTAAGACAAAATTTGATTTTTTAATTTATGTACTGAACATGTTTAATAGCAAAAAGTCCAAAATACTGGGTTTATTTTTTCAAAATTGTCAGAATTTTTTTGTTTATAGCACAAAAAAAAAAATAAATAAAAAAAAAAAACCGCAGAGGCAATCAAATACCACCGAAAGAAAGCTCTATTTGTGGGTGAAAAAAAAAAAAACTACGTAATGTTCATTTGGGTGTAGCGTTGCATGACCGTGCAATTGTCAGTTCAAGTACCGCAGAGCCATATCACAAAAAGTGGCCTGGTCAGGAAGGGGGATAAATGATTAAAGAAGTTTGGGGTTAAAAAAAAAAAAAAAAAAAAAATCTATACATACTCACCCCCCGCTGGCTCTAAGCCTGAGAACTGAGTGATCACATGATCGCTGAGTCTTTCCAGAACAGAGAGCAGGGACTGTCACAGCCACAGCTCTCTGCTCTGCCTCTCCAGCACTCATTGGACCACTGGGCTAGAAAGGGGGTGCAACCAGCTGGCTCAAGCTTTTAGCAGCTCGCTAAGAGGCTGAGACAGCTGCAGATCAGACATCCAGGTGGATCCCGACAATATGGTCAGGATCTTTCCAGAGTCTGGACTGGCTCTAGGACATCAGCCAAAAGCAGGCCTTAGCCCACTGTCAGCTGATTTTGGATCACAGAAGTGCACTCCTGTGACCCAGAAGTGAAGTATGGCCAAACTTCTCTTTTAAGGTCTCATTCACTGCTGTTCATGCAACGATTACCATTTTCAGGCTCATAGACTTCAATGGCAGTGCATGCAAAATGCTCCTACATACATTTTTGTAGGGTTTAGCACATAACAAGCGCCCACCCCTACTATGACTTAATAAAAAAACAAAAAACAAAAGTGCAGAATGCATGGACACACACACACACATGAAAATGCTAATGCAAAGATGTGGGCATAGCTTTAGGTCTCAGTCCCACCAGCCTGCATTCTAAAATGTGTGTGTCCTGGTGCATGTTGTGTAAGGGCAGCAAGAAGTGTTTTGCTTGGTTCACTGGTTGTAAACACACTTCTCCTTGCACCCTCTGTCACAATTTCTTAAACAAAACACAGCCGTACGGGGCTCCACCCACTCATTTACAGAGTTCTATAAATGAGAGAACTACAGTCAGCCATTGAGGACGGCTTGTAGTTCTCAATGAACTACTAGGGTGCTGATGAGCGCTTTAGGTAGTCCATTGATCCACCTTGTCATTCAGTAACTGCCTGCCTGTATGAGGTATGGGTAGACAGCTACACTGACAGTCTTCAGGAGTCAAACACTACACCTGTGATCTGCCAATTGTGGGTTCAATTCTCTGCATGCTCCTAAAAAATAAAAAAATAATAATAAATGCACATTTTATTTACCTGTAAAAATATGTACATTTATTATTTTTTCAGCCTTGATGTGCTTCGTGTATTTTCTTTCAGATCTGTGCAGTAATCCAGTGTGAAAATTCACCTCTTTGCAGGAGCGTCCTGTAATAAAGACCAATCACTAATGCTCTCTCACTTTGTGTAGGGTGACTGGTCTTGTCTCCAACCCCTTCTATGAGTTTCTGAAGACAGCTTGTAAAGGGTGAAGCTTGCTGGTTGCACAGCTCTACTCAACACGATGATGTCACCTCTTCGTTTACAAGGTAACATCTGGGTACACCTTAGGTGCACACAACGAGGATTTATATCCTTTAAGGCCATTAAGGAATGTATTTGAATGAAAGTTTTTGTGGTGGGAGTTCAGCATTTAGGATAATTTTAGACATCCAGTTGAGGGTGGTAAAATGTAGTTGAGCTGTGTTTTAAACCCCCCCAACCCTGTAGTGACTAAAACAAATCCTAATGCCTTAACACAATTGTGCAACCTTGACATGTGGAGCACCAAGGGCTGGGCCTGCGGTCATTTTTGCATATGAGCACATCCTAACATGTATAGTGTGATTGACCCAAAATGTAAAAGATCTGTGTGCCAGCACCCTAAGCTGACAATAGTCTGATGTGTGGGATTTATTGTCACTTGCCTCTAAAGCACAAGCCACATTTGGGTCATGCTTCAGAGGACAGGTATATTTAGACACATCGGATTATGGTGCGAATGAGGCACCAAGAGTGACAACAGTCCGTTGTGTGGGATTTATTTCCCTATGGACAATGTAAATGTTCTGTTTTCAGTGGAGGGATGAGAACCATCCATTCCCAGTCCACCATCAGCGATCACATCATGACCTAATTGTGGAGACCATGCTAGGACACTGCTTATGGCTGACACCCGGAGAGGGAGGACTGGGCACGTGAGGGCTATTCCTCCCAGGATCACTGACCCCACAACGTGCAGACCGGTGTCTTCACGGGGGACAGATCTTGCCACTACACCGGCTCCAGCACAGCCTCGTCCCCTTCCCTGATCATATCACCCCTGATGACAGCACGGAAAGTTTCCCAGCTGACAGCTGTGGTCAGGAGGCGCCGAGCCCACACCACCCAGTGACGTCACGCCGGCTCCTAGCAGCCACTCACATATTGGGGTTCCTGCGGAAAGCTCCAGTGATGTCCTTTACTACCCGCTGTACCAGCACCTCCACCTCCTCCTTCCACTCCGCCATCTCCGAGCCTGCAGGCGGAGACACATCAACTTCCGGGTCAGCCTTCCGCTCCGCCTGCGCTGCTGCTGCTTCTACTGCTGCTCGTTAACCCTTCCCGTGGTTTCCAGCGAGCCCTGTGTGTGTGTATGGCTGATGGGGAGGCTGGAATGTGGCCGGAGGCAGAAAGTGGGTCACATCTCAGCATGGCATGTATAGAATGTGTGGGAACCGGGCGGATATGAGTAGATTGTAGGAGCACTGAGGGATGGGGAAGGTTCTAGACTGAAACGTGGGGATGTGAGGGAAGGAAGCTGGGGCACAGGATTTCTCATAGACTGTGCAATGTGCCACATTATTTGTTGCAGCGCCAACATAGTCCATAGAGTACAGCGAAGACTGACGGCAGAAAAGGACCCAGCAGTCACTTGAGTCCACCACTTTTTTTGTAAAAGCAGAATTCCGGTTAAAAGTTTGTGGAACTGTGCCCAAACTGCATGGATTAAGTGCTGGTCTTGTGTAGGGGTTCTGGGTAAAGCTATACTTACCCATTCCTCCAATCCTCTGGAAAACCGTGCTCCCCCACGTCCAGCGGTGGACTGTTCCTGCCATGCTCACGTCCAGAGCTGGTCTATGGGCATGATGACATTAGGAACAGTCTACTGCACAAGACCGCTAGCATGCAGGGGGACAGGAGTTGCGGAGACCAGTCTTGCGCTTAGAGGATCAGTGGATTAGGTACAGTGGATATAAAAAGTCTTCTACACACCCCTCTTAAAATGTCAGGTTTCTGTGATGTAAAAAATGAGACATAAATAATTTCAGAACTTTTTCCACCTTTAATCTGAATAAATTGTACCTTGTAGCAATCATGCACACAGAGATACGCGGTCATCCATTTTGCTCCAAACCCCTCCATATTGTATCTCTCCCAAATCAGATTCCTCCAACATCCCTCCTCCCTCTCTGTTGAGTGACATGTGGTCTGTTTGTTGCAGAGATCACAGGCAGCAAACTCATTGGGAGGGCGTCATGGCTATAAAACCCCCAGCCGAGCTGGTGCCTGTTAGCTCGCAATCTGGGATATCGTAAGACCATAAACCAAGTCCTTTCAAGCTTCAAAAGACATTCCAGGGAGTCGTAAAACAGACTTACATTTTACCCCCAGTTTTCCATATAATTTTATATCTCCAAATAGGAAATAATTACACAAACATGGAGCACATATTTGGATGGCTCACTTTAAGACAAGTCGCCTGGTATATTACACCCCCTAGCTGGCATATACAGGAGAGCAGAATTTAGGAATCAGGACTTGAAGTTCATTCATTCATGGAAGTTAAACACCTGAGAAAATCAGTGTTAATATTTGGTACAGAAGCCTTTGTTTGCAATTACAGAGGTCAAACATTTCCTGTAGTTCTTGACCAGGTTTGCACACACTGCAACAGGGATTTTGGCCCACTCCTCCTCTAGATCTGTCAGGTTTCGGGGCTGTCGCTGAGCAACACAGAGTTTCAGCTCCCTCCAAAGATGTTCTATTGGATGTAGGTCTGGCTAGGCCACTCCAGAACCTTGATATGCTTCTTATGGAGCCACGCCTTGGTTATCCTGGCTGTGTGCTTCGGGTTGTTGTCATGTTGGAAGACCCAGCCACGACCCATCTTCAATGCTCTTTTTCCTCCAAACACGACGAGTGAAGTTTAGACCAAAAAGTTCTACTTTGGTCTCATCTGACCACATGACTTTCTCCCATGCCTCCTCTGGATCATCCAGATGGTCATTGGCAAACTTCAGACGGGCCTGGACATGTGATGACTTGAGCAGGGGAACCTTCCGTGCAATGCATGATTTGAAACCATGACGGCGTAGTTATAATTCTATATCACAACACTTAAACCTATAATATCCCAGAAAAGTAATCTACCTTCACCCTTGAAGGCCAGCTAAACAATATATATGTGACTTTTCTATGAACAAATAAATCAAATGAAATAAAACCAAAAAAAATTAAAAATATATAAAAAAAAATTATAAAAATTATGTCCAAAGTCCCACCGTGTCCAAAACAAAATCAAAAATCCAAAATTATAACAAAAATAATCCCCACAGGTGTAAAGTAAACACTTAAACTTTTTCTTCTTCTTTCATCACCAAAACCTTCTTAATACCCGCAAATCCTGATGTTCATACACCCTATAGCAGAAACAGCAGGGCAGATTACCACTCTGGGTTACTCTCTCCTCACATCGATTTTCTCCAAAGACTAGGGCCACTTCCTCCACTTTCCTCCAGAAAACCAGTCACAGTATAAAAGATATTCTTCTTTATTGGTAACTCACATAAGAAATTCCGTGGTAACAGCTCCTCCTCACAAGAAGTACACACATGGACAGGTTCAGGGAAACATTAACCGCATGTTCCCACTTCCAAGATGGCCGCGATCGCACTTCCGGTCAACGTCGATGCGTCTGACGTCACGTGTGCCTGACGCGTTTCGTCACTTCCTTTGACTTTTTCAGAAGGGTCATGACGGCGTAGTGTTCTACCGACAGTGACCTTTAAAACTGTGGTCCCAGCTCTCTTAATGTCATTGACCAGCTCCTCCCTTGTAGTTCTGGGCTGATTCCTCACCTTTCTTATCATCAGTGATACCTCACGAGGTGAGATCTTGCATGGAGCCCCAGTCCGATGGAGACTGACAGTCGTCTTTAGCCTCTTCCATTTTCTAACAATTCCTCCAACAGTTGATCTATTTTCACCAAGCTGCTTAGCAATTGCCCTGTAGCCCTTTCCAGCCTTGTGGAGGTCCACAATTTTGTCTCTGGTGTCTTTTGACAGCTCTTTGGTCTTGCCCATGGTAGTAGTTGGTGTCTGACTGACTGTGGGGTGGACAGGTGTCTTTAAAGAGCTCAGACAGCTGCTACTAAGTTAGATTAAAGAGTGGAGTAGAGGTGGACTTTTTAAAGACACAGTAACAGGTCTTTGAGAGCCAGAATTCTTGCCGTTTCTTAGGTGTTCAAATACTTACAGTGGGGCAAAAAAGTATTTAGTCAGCCACCAATTGTGCAAGTTCTCCCACTTAAAAAGATGAGAGAGGCCTGTAATTGGCATCATAGGTAGACCTCAACTATGAGAGACAAAATGAGAAAAAAAATCCAGACAATCACATTGGCTGATTTGGAAAGAATTTATTTGCAAATTATGGTGGAAAATAAGTATTTGGTCAATATCAAAAGTTCATCTCAATACTTTGTTATATATCCTTTGTTGTCAATGACAGAGGTCAAACGTTTCCTGTAAGTCTTCACAAGGTTGGCACACACTGTTGCTGGTATGTTGGCCCATTCCTCCATGCAGATCTCCTGTAGAGCAGTGATGTTTTGGGGCTGTCGCTGGGCAACACGGACTTTCAACTCCCTCCAAAGGTTTTCTATGGGGTTGAGATCTGGAGACTGGCTAGGCCACTCCAGGACCTTTGAAATGCTTCTTTCTTACGAAGCCACTCCTTTGTTGCCCGGCGGTATGTTTGGGATCATTGTCATGTTGGAAGACCCAGCCACGTTTCATCTTCAATGCCCTTGCTGATGGAAGGAGGTTTGCACTCAAAATCGCACGATACATGGCCCCATTCATTCTGTCCTGTACATGGATCAGTCATCCTGGTCCCTTTGCGGAGAAACAGCCCCAAAGCATGATGTTGCCACCCCCATGCTTCACAGTAGGTATGGTGTTCTTTGGATGCAACTCAGCATTCTCTCTCCTCCAAACACGACGAGTTGTGTTTCTACCCAAACAGTTCTATTTTGGTTTCATCTGACCATATGACATTCTTCCAATCCTCTTCTGGATCATCCAAATGCTCTCTAGCAAACTTCAGACGAGCCCGGACATGTACTGGCTTAAGCAGGGGGACACGTCTGGCACTGTAGGATCTGAGTCCCTGGCGGCGTAGTGTTACTGATGGTAGCCTTTGTTACGTTGGTCCCAGCTCTCTGCAGGTCATTCACTAGGTCCCCTTGTGTGGTCCTGGGATTTTTGCTCACCGTTCTTGTGATCATTTTTGACCCCACGGGGTGAGATCTTGCGTGGAGCCCCAGATTGAGGGAGATTATCAGTGGTCTTGTAGGTCTTCCATTTTCTAATTATTGCTCCCACAGTTGATTTGTTCACACCAAGCTGCTTGCCTATTGCAGATTCAGTCTTCCCAGCCTGGTGCAGGTCTACAATTTTGTTTCTGGTGTCCTTCGACAGCTCTTTGGTCTTCACCATAGTGGAGTTTGGAGTGTGACTGTTTGAGGTTGTGGACAGGTGTCTTTTATACTGATAACAAGTTCAAACAGGTGCCATTGATACAGGTAATTAGTGCAGGACAGAGGTGCCTCTAAAGGAAGAAGGTATGGTCCAGAGCTACAATGGAATGGTTTAGATCAAAGCATATTCATGTGTTAGAATGACCCAGTCAAAGTCCAGACCTAAATCCAATTGCGAGTCTGTGGCAAGACATGAAAATTGCTGTTCACAGACGCTCTCCATCCACTCTGACAGAGCTTGAGCTATTTTGCAAAGAAGAATGGGCAAAAAATTCACTCTCTAGATGTGCAACGCTGGTAGAGACATCCCCAAAAAGACTTGCAGCTGTAATTGCAGTGAAAGGTGGTTCTACAAAGTATTGACTCAGGGGGGCTGAATACAAATGCACACCACACTTTTCACATATTTATTAGTAAAAATATTTTGAAAACCATTTATCATTTTCCTTCCACTTCACAATTATGTACCACTTTATGTTGGTCTATCACATAAAATCCCAATAAAATACATTTATGTTTTTGGTTGTAACATGACAAAATGTGGAAAATTTCAAGGGGCATGAATATTTTTTCACGGCACTGTATACAGGGCAACCTGTTTGAGCTGCAGTGAGGCCCGAGCAGCACTCCCGCCTGGACCGCCAGCCCGCCAGACCAAAATGAATCCACTTAGCAGGGTGGTCATCCTGGCAACCAATGACATCACCCATG